GATTATTTTTATTCCTCACTGGTAATTATAAGATCAAGAGGTATCCTTATAAAATACAAATCTATACCTAACACTTCCTTGGTCCAAATATTAAACTTTTCAAAGGTCCCCCAACAGCCTGAATTTATTTCTCTGTAATATGGAGATAATAATATACTCAGCTCACAGGGTTACTTTAGGTTTAAATGAGATAGATGGATTACTGCTGGGCATGTGCCCAGCACGTGGTAGTTGCTCAATAAATTCTAGTTCCTTTTCTTCTCCAATTTTCTAGCCTCATGTCCAACCCAGTGTTCTAGCCACATCAAATTCCTCATTAGTTCCATACAGATCCTGAACTTTCATACGTTTGTGCTTCTGCTCTTGTTTTCCCTCTGTCTGGAATGCCTTTCCTGTGTCTACCTAGTGAACTCTTCCTCATCGTCCAAAACAGAGCTCACATGTCTCCTCCTCTGGGAAACTTTTCCTACTGCCCCCTCCCCACCAGCTTTGCTCTCTGCTTCCATCGCACCTTGTACGTGTCTCAGCTTTAGAGCTTGTAATTCTGTTATAATTGTCTCTTTTTTTTTCTGTGATAGTTATTTACGTACACTTTTGCCTCTCTGTTAGGCTGTGACCCTGAGGGGGGCAGGAACCGAGTCTCATTTGTATTTGTAGAGCATTGGGAAAGAATCTGGAGGAGGCTGGAAAGATGACAGGTAGAAGGATGAGCTTAGCAAAACGAACTAATTCTTCCCCTGAAACAAAAGGGAAGGAACCGAAGATAAGTGACAGTAAGAATGTAGCAAGAACCTTTAAAGCAAAAGGGAAGGGGGCCAAATCACAAGGAGAAATCTGGCTTGAGGGGGGAAGAGTACAGGAAGAAGAGGCCACCAGGAGAGATGAGCAGGCCAAAGGAGGGGTGGGGCTGGTGGGGTCTGAGGGACTGAGCCTTCTCCTTCCTAGATGTTTGAGGCCTCAGGAGGGACTCAGTGCCTGGGCTGGCAAAAAGGGGTTTGGGGGCCCACAGGGAGGAACAGCCTGTCTCCACCTGGAATGAAGCCAAGTAGCTTTGCTTCACATTTGAGTCTTTCAGTCCAGCAGAAAGTAGCTGGAGCCTCCAGCTGGAGGGAAGAGGGTAGGTTTGCAGTGATGTGGATGAGGAGAGCTAAAGTGATGGCGGTGGTATGGACCATGGAGTGCTAGTTAGGGACACACTATGAGAAGGATGGCAGGGAATTTTGGCAGTGATGCAATCGTCAGAAAGTATGGCAGGAGTGGCAGAGAAAAGACAGCTGGAGAGGAAGCACTGTAGGTGCGGCTGCCCCGCGACCTGTTCCAGTTGGCATCCTCAGTGCCTGCATTCGAGTAAGCCTGCAAGTCCTTCTTCCCTGGGTGGACTGTGGTACAGGTGGGGGCTTTGGGAAAAAGCAACACGTGCAACTTGGGCTTCTTCTACTCTAGGCTGTCGCACTAAGCTTCTCAGATGGTTTCATATTGGTTCTTCGTTGCTGCGCACAGGCTTTCTCTAGTTGCGGCGAGCAGGGGCTACTCTTCGTTGTGGTGCACAGGCTTCTCATTGCAGTGGCTTCTCTTGTTGCGGAGCGTGGGCTCTAGGCGCACGGGCTTCAGTAGTTGCAGCACGTGGGCTCAGGAGTTGAGGCACGTGGGCGCTAGGGCCTGTGGGCTTCAGTAGTTGTGGCACATGGACTCAGTAGTTGTGGCTCGCGGGCTCTAGAGCGCAGGCTCAGTAGTTGTGGCACTCGGGCTTAGCTGCTCCGCGGCATGTGGGATCTTCCCAGATCGGGGATTGAACCCATGTCCCCTGCACTGGCAGGTGGATTCTCAACCACTGCACCACCAGGGAAGTCCCTTCAGGTGACATTTTAAAAACAACAAACCAGTGTCTCAGTCAGAGTACTTTGTTACAAACAACAGAAATTGTGAGTAATTTAAGGAAAAAAAAGACATTTACTCAAAGGATATAGAGATTTGACAGGAAGGCTGGCAAGCTGGATTGTGGAAAATGGGTGTAACCTAGGAAGGCCAGGCAGCAGGCACTACGGCCAAGTTCATGCCTCAGGCACAATCTGGCATGGCCACCATCACCACGGTAGGGACACTCCCCCCTCTACCCCAACCCCCAAGGGACCCACTGTGGTTGGACACCTACTGTCTCCGTTCCTGTGAGTAATTCTAAACTTGTCAATATGCCTTTGTGTCACCCCCTGAAGATTCAAAGTTCAGAGAGGAGTGGCCACGTGGCTGAGCCTAGGTCATATTTCATGTTCTGGCTGCCCCAGGGCAGGGAGAAGGCTATCTCTCTGATTCAGCTTCCCTAGTCTCAGCAAAACTGCACAGAACGGGTCATTCCCCCAAACAGGAGGAAGTTTTGGATGCCGATGGTAACTAAATAAAGCAAAATGTCTACCATGCCCTCATCTTTCAGACTGCTTTTCCTTCCCAGTTACTCTCTTTTGTTGATGGTGATTTGCGATCATAATCTCAGGCTTCCCAGGCTTGACACTTTAAAACCATCCTCATCGCTCTCATTTTCCCACATAGTGAATAACTCTCCAAATTTCTTAGATTTGCCTTGCCTTCTGTCACAGATACTGCTTTAGTAAGATTACTTTGGCAACAGCATAGAGGAGAGGAGAGACTGGAAATTGGGAGTCAGACTTCTAGAATGTTAGAGCTAGAAAGGACCTTTGAATTTATCCATTGTAGTGGTCTTATCTAGGAGTATTCATTAGAATTCCTATGGCATTATAAAAATTTACATGCTGGCATCCCATCCTCAGGTTTTGGGTTCAGTAGTTCTGAAAAGGGACGTTGGCATATGTGTATATATGTGTGTGTTCGTGTATGCGCATGTGTGTGTCTTTCTGAAGTGTATCCCAGGTTGAGAACTGCTGAATTCCAGTACCCTTATTTTAAAGATGAGGTGACTAAGGTCCAGAGGGAATTTATCTGTTTGAAATTATCCAAATTAATGAAATGGAGAAAGTGGTCATGACCAATCCTAGATCTCCTGGCTTTTGGTCTAGTATTACTCAGAACTCTTGCTTTTTCCCTCTGCAAAAAGAAATTTCTTGTCTTTATTTGTATTCGAGAAAGCATGCTACACTGCTATGGTTCAGCTTCTCCAATAGAAAGTAAACTTCAGATTGAGAGCCCCAAACTGTCAAGAGTGAACAGCCCATACCAAGGGCCCCATCTCTAAGAGTAATTGGCTTGATCTCTGGACCACAGGCCTTCCTTGTCAGAATCTGTGCAAAGCATCAAGAACCTCAAGTGGGAAGTGAAATGAAGAGAACCTTTGGAAGGACAGCCTGGATGAAGCCATACTTCTGAGTTTGTCAGGATTCTAACTGTCTGGGCCTCTGTGCACACAACCCCTTGTTTCAATTACTCATTGACCCTTCTTCAATTCTTCACTGTCCTTTAGCCATCTGGTTCTCATTTTGGGAATCCACTTCTTTCTTTGCTATGCTGACTTCCACCAATCACTCTGCCTTGGACTGGTTTACTATCAGCTCAGGTACTGTTTCCAAGCAATCTCATGGAAACCCAGGGCCTCTGATGCCTTCCATTACATTATGTTACTTTTTTTTTTTTTTAAATTTGCTCTCCTTACAAAACTTGTGCTTTCTTATAAAGATTCCCAAGAGGAAATGCCATTTGCTGAATGCCTTCCTGCTCCAAATCTACTTTAGTGCAAAAAAGCAAAGGGTGGGAGAATTGCTGTAGCAGAACCCTCTCTCTGTCAGAGGGAAGCTATTGTTTCTCTTGTACCCTCTGCATCCAGAAAGGGGACTGGCACCAAAGTCTGAGCACCTCACTCAGTGACTAAGCCAAGCAGGAATGGTGTGGTCAGAGCTGTCCTTTAGGAAGTAACTCTAAGAACTATGGAGGATGGATTGGAGGAAGAGAGTCTGTGGGCAGGGAGACAATTTATAGAAGCTTCTGCAATAATCTAGGTGAGAGATGATGAGACCTGAATTGGGCAGTGGGAATGGAATGAAGAGGAGAAGATAGGTAGGAAAATGGTCATTTTGGTGGGAGAATTGACAGAACTAAGAAACTGACAGATGTGGGAGATGAGGGAGAAGTAAAGATGACCAGGTTTGGAGCTTGAGGAACTGGGAGAATAGTACCTTTACTGGAATGAGGGAAATAAGAAGAGCTGTTTTGAAAGAAGGGTGGAAGAAGTGACTTTAGTTTGGTACATGAGGGATGCAGACATCCAAGATGATGCTTCCATCAGGCAGTTGACTATGCAGGGCTGGACTCAGGATGTCTGTACTGCAGATATCAATTCGAGAGTTTCAGCTGGAAGAAAATGTGAGGTGGGGTATGGGCTGGGGGGGCAATACACGGAAAGGAGTAGAGGACTGAGGCCTGAGCCTAGAGGAATACCCACATTTAAGCCCGAAACAAGGGGGAGGGCTCAAGAAAAGAGTCTGAGAAAGAGCTGAGAGGGGGAAAAAAAACCAAGGAAAGTGTGGCTTTGCCAGCCAAGGGAGGGAAGTTTCAGGAAGGAATCTGGAGAGAGAGTTTACTGAGATGTGGACTGACAAGAAGCTGCTATTTTTGGCAGTTAGTTGCTGGTCAGGGTAGGACTGGGTCTCAGTCCCAACAGCTATGAAGCAGAGGCAGGGTTCTGAGTAATTCACATACTCCCCAATCACATTAGCCTCAGTTATCAGGGTATTGCAGGATAAATAAGTGTAATTACTTCATAAAGTTTAATATCGCTCAGTTTCCAAATAAATCCCCTCGGTCCTCAACTTAATTTGGCCCACTAAGAGGAAATCGCAAAGAGTAGAAGGCGAGACCGAAGACCAGATATATGAAGGATAATAAATATTAATGAGGTTTCACCTCACGCCAACCATGTCCCGAGAGACCCTCTTCTGGAGCCCCGCCCCTCATGAATATGTATATAGCGGTGCCCGCCGCGCACTGCCCCGCCCTCTACTCTTCTCCCTCGCAACGGACTCTCCCTACAAACGGGAAACAAGATGGCGGCGGCAGGTCCGAGTACTCGGGCCTCTTCCGCGGCGGCAGCGGCAGCTCTGAATCGGCGGGGTCGGCGGGGCCGCTGTGACGAGATGGCGGCAGCCAAGACTGGGACTCCGGGCCCGGCCTCTGGCCCCGCGCTGCTGGTGTTGCCGCCGCCGTTGCTGCAGCCGCCGCCACCGCCGCGGCCGGAGGAGTCGGACTGCGCTGGGTGCCTGGAGACCCCGGGGGAAGCGGCGGCCCTGCCGTGCGGCCACTCGCTGTGCCGAGGCTGCGCCCAACGCGCCGCCGACGCGGCGGGTGCATTCAACCATATTTTATTTATACATTCCCCTGAGGTTGGAAACCTAGATTGCCTCCCGCTTCCTGCCCCCACAAACGATGCCACCATGAGCATCTTTGTATGTGTGCCCTTGTGGGTCCTGGGTCCGCGTCGTGACGGGGGCGCGGCCGCCACGGGGCCCAGGCCCGAGCAGGAGACGCGCGGCGCGCCAGCGGAGCCAGGTGGAGTTTCCTCTCCTCTCCTTGGGGTCTGGAGCGAGGCCGCCGCGCCCCGGCCTGGCCTGGTTAGGGGGTGGAGGGTCCCAGGCCCTGGCCCTGCTCGAGCGGGTGTCGAGAGTTCTCGTGGGGTTGGAACCGGGCTCTGCCCAGGTGCAGTATGTGTTTCTGAATCTTGAACTTCGGGATGAAGTACGGGCACGATGGATTTGGAGTCAGAAGTTTGAAGGGAGCCATAGCATTTCTTGGAACAAGTTAGGGCCAGGTTGGAATTGGTGAGTGGAGGAGGGTACCGAACTTTGTAGGGGCAGTGGAGGATCCGAGAAGTGCTTGATTTAGTGTTGGGTGAAGAGCTTGGGGTTGAATTGCTTGTAAAGATGTGATCCCTGGGCCTGAATGGGTCAGTGAGAGGTGTGGCATATACGGAGTTTGAGGGGCAGATTAGATTGATTTCGAGGATGCGAAGGGAGCTTTTCAGACTTGAGCGTCTGAGTTCATATGTGCAGTTTTCACAAAATCTTGAAAAACGCAAGAGCCTGGCATGTAGAGAAGACGAAATAAATGATGGCTATTTATATTTATAATAACTAATAATAAGCTCCAGCAGTGCTCTACAAAAAAAGATGGATGGGGTTTAAAAGTTTTGGAAGCGGAGATTGGTTGGCGGGGGCTGCTTCTATCTCGATGGCAGTGTAGGTTTCCTGCTATTTTCCTGGCAATTAGGAGTCCGTTGAAGGACTGTTGTCTACAACTTCTTTGCCTTCCCCCCGTCCCTCCGCCCCGCAGCAGCCTGCCACTCTTTGGTGCTGAGCTTGACATAGAAAGTGCCCTGTTGAAAACACAAAACAAAACTGTTATAACTTGGGACTCTTTGAGACACACCCAGTCAACACAACAGCTAGAGTTCTTTGATAAAAGCTTACCTAGGAAGAGATTTTTCAAGAAACATAATTAGGAAAGGACAGATATTTGCACCTTTTGTGTTGGGAATTCTGCCATGTGCTGTTTTCAGTAGGGAAAAGGAGACATTGCTTGTGTATGAAAGTGCAGTCACTAGAAACTACAGGTTCCAGAATGCAGTCTGTTTTGATTCAAGCAGTCAAACACCTGCCACTGTCCTAGGATACCTTATTTTTATTTCTGTCTTACTTTCTGTGTTCCTCGTTATTCCTTTTAAGCTTCATAGCATCCTTATGAGATAGGTACTTTTATTTCCATTTTATAGATGGAACTGAGGCCAAGAGAGGTTAAGTAAGTTGCCCAAGGATGAAAACCCAGTTCCACCTGATTCCTGCCCAGAAAAGGGATGAAGGCCTCCCCAAACATCATCTATGCTATTTAATTTGCTTCAAATTCTGAGATTATGGTAAAAAAAATTAAGACAGTATTTCTCTGGTCTCCATACTAGTACTATTGATTATATGGTCACGTAGGATACAAATTTCTATTTTCGAAGCCTGTACTCCTTTGTGGAATATCAGGTCTGAGATTTGAACCATGAGAGGGTGTATGACTTGATGATTTGTGCAAACTTTTTCCTTGAAGAAATTTGTGTATCAGTGATTAAGAAAAACAATATAAAATGAGATTTCAAATGAGGCTCTGTTGAGTCACTGAATATCCACCAGTTACTTTCTATGTTTGTATGAGGACCATTATGAAAAATATTTTTCCTTAAATGTTCTTATTGTTGGATCATTGAGTGTATATAATTACATGCTTGTTAAGTCAAAACATTATAGAAGAGTATTGCTGAACAGGATTTGGGAATAAACCCTGTTTATCTTCTAGCTTTAGCAAGTTTTCTAGACCTCTTGAGTTTATATGCAGTATTTTTAAATTTAAAACTTTAATAGGCAATTCACATAATTCAAACAAAAATATAAGAAAGTATACAATGAAAAGGTTCCTCCTACTCCTTTCTTCATTTCCCATTTTCACCAAAGATTCATGTTGATTCTTCCACAGTTTTGTTATGCTTATACATGGAAATTCAAATATATTTATTTTATTTTTTGATCTTTTTACATAAAAGGTTATATGCACTGGTGCTTTTTTTCATATAACAATACATGATGGATATCTTTTCATATCAGTACATAGAAGGTTTCTTCATTGTACTTATAGTTACAAGGAATTTCATTGGATGTAACATAATTTACTTAATCATCTATTGGTGGATATTTAGGTTGTTTCCAGTCTTTTGCCATTATGAATTATTGTTTATAAAATTGTTTTACAATGTATATGTACATTTTTATGAATAGTTCACCTGTAGCTTTCACCAGATTCTCCAAGTGTTGCAAAAAAAAAGGTTAAGAACTTTTGTTTTAACCCAGTTCCCTCATTCTACTGAAGAGAGAACTGAGGCTCAGAACAGAGAAGAGAGTGACCAGGTCATTGTGGGTTAGTAGCAGATAACAAGGGCTGAAAGGCTAACCCTTAAATAAGGGCTAAAACATAACCTAATTCACAGTTAAATGTTCATGATGGTTTGTAATAGACAGTAAAAATACCAGTTTCATAATAATTACATCACACTTTTATGAGTGGGAAGCAGCAACAAAATTAGCAATTTTAGGTAAATACAGAAGTATATTGCTTAGCAGGATTCTTTTGGCATAATTAGGTCAGTTGATAAAAGAAAGGGCAGACCTGCTTTATAAAACTGGAAAAAAAATTTTGTAGTAAATTCACTGGTATTTAAGTGAAATTCTTAACTTTTTTTTTTTTTTTTAAATTTCTTGAAGTCCCATGGCTCTTTTGGAATTGAATCGAATTGAATTTTGGAATTTTTTCTGAAAAAAGTGCAAGAGTTTGTGTGTGTTGAAAATTTTGGTTGTGCTGGTGATATTTTTGTTTTTTGTCAGCTTCTCAAGATTTAAAGTTCAGAACCTTAATAACGTCTGTATTAAGTGTTTTATTTTATTCTTACATACACTGTCAATTTGCTTCTGGATACAGTATCAGTTAATTTGTGCAGCAGTGTGTGTTGAAGGTTAAGTCAGTGATCGTTTCAAGATGAACCTAGACTTCAACTGTATGTTCTTTGAGGATCTGCAGCTCATTGTATGTATTGACATATTAAGTATTTGGACCATATTGAGCAATATTAAGCAAGTATGTAATGAGTGCCTACTCTGTGCCAGACACTGTTCTAGATCCTTGGGTGACATCAGTGAATAAAATAGTCAAAGATCCCTCCCTCTTCGAGCTTATATTCTAAATTTAGAAACAGTCCTGGTCCATTGATTTTTAAAAAAGAAGATTTACCATACAGACATACATAGGTAGATTTGCAAATATAAGAACATTTAAGCCTCATTGATAAGAATTTTTTAAAATGAATTAATTAACTTATTTTTGGCTGCGTTGGGTCTTCATTGCTGCGCGCGGGTTTTCTCTAGTTGCAGCGAGTGGGGGCTACTCTTCATTGCGGTGTGTGGGCTTCTCATTGTGGTGGCTTCTATTGTTGTTGAGCGCGGGCTCTAGGTGCGCTGGCTTCAGTAGTTACGGTGCAGGGGCTTAGGTGCTCCACATGTGGGATCTTCCTGGACCAGGACTTGAACCCGTGTACCCCTACACTGGCAGGCGGATTATTAACCACTGTACCACCAGGGAAGTCCCAAGCCTCATTGATAGTAATTAATTTTAAGAATTCATTTAGTCTTTTGAAATCAAGGATGATCATTCTAAAGTATGCTGCCTTTGAACTTGAAACCAAGACCTTTTTAGGACAGTTCTTTTTCCTTTTACCATGGGTAATAATTGAAGAGAAAAGCTAGACAAAGGCTGATGAATCTTTAAATTGGCAGTTTAATTTTTTTTCTATTTGTAGTGTTAAAAGTGCATTTCAAAAATAGAATAATTGAAAAAAATTGAATAGTGCCCCATTTATTCCTTCCCTTTATCCCACCCCAACCTCCCTGTTCACTTAGGGTTGACATTTATCCATTAAAAAAATTTCTTCTTTCTGTGAAAAACAAGTAGTTCTGGTTTATTACTCAGTTGGCAGACAATGTTTGCTATGTGTGCAAACCTAAATTGTATGTAGGACTAATGAATAATGAAATCATGTGATTGTAGTGTAAAAGGATAGGAATTTCCCTTGTCTGAAGGGATTTGTCTTAAAATGTATAAAATGACTCAACTTTTTATCCTAGTAACACATATTCCAGAATTTGAGTGTCCTTATGTGTTTTACTAATGTGGAAATATTTGCCTTGTGTTTTTTAAAACTCAGGATGAGATTACCTTATAAACTAAGCCTTAATTCCCATTGACAGAATAGCTCCATTCTGTAGAATTCGGGATTGAGCAGC